ATGAAGCACAACAGCAGTAATGAAGTGAAACAGTAAAAAAAATTTAAAAGAAAGGTAACAATTCCTGACCTTTACTTGTGGTAAATAAATAATAAAAAATATAATACACATACTGTATGTAAATACATCGAAATGACAGAGCTTTTTTTTTTTATTACAAACTAGAGGCCCGGTGCATGGATTTGTGCACAGGTGGGGTCCCTCAGCCTGGCCTGCACCCTCCTGCAATCCAGGACCCCTCGAGGGCCGAAACCCAGCAGTCCGACATCCCCCTGAGGGATGTAGCAGTGCCAAAGTGGCAGGCAGTCAGGGAGGATCCCCAGCCGGGGCCGGGCACAGCTCCCCTGCCACTTATCCTGGCTAGCTACACTTGCCACTGCCGCCACCACCGCTTGGTAGTGCTGCTGGAGGCAGGAGAGGAACGCTGCAGCAGCTGCACTTGCCAGCCGTGAGCCCAGCTTCTGGCTGAGCAGCACTCCCGCTGTGGGAGCACACTGACCACCAGGGGGCAGCTCCTGCGTTTAGTGTTTGCCCCATAGTGGTCAGTGTGCGTCATAGCAACTGGTCGACCAGTCGTTCCGGTCCTTCGGCCGTAATGTTCATTTAGGCTTTTATATACATAGGTAAATGGTAGATGGCGACATAACAACAAAATTACGTACATGGAGTCCGACGTAATCCGAGGACTGTCTGTATATATTTTTTACTATGTACTTCCAAAATGGAGAATAGCTTACCAATTTATTTCCTTGTCAGCAGATTTAAATTATAAAATCAGCTTTTGTACTTATTTGACAAGAACTACATTTTCTTCAATATTTCTACTTTAAAGGTTTTGCTATTATTGATAAACTAGGGGCCCGGCGCATGATATTCATGCGCGGGTACAGTCCCTAGGACTGGCCTGCAATCAGGGCCATCTTCCCTGGCTGCCCAGAGCCGGCTCCACCCCCCAGCCACCACCCACCCCCCGGTTCCCTGTTCACCATTGGGCAATCGGAGCCTTACGGCCAGGGGAAGGGACCAAGAGGTTGGCCGTTCCCACCCGCTTGCCAGCCCCACTCCCGCTGAGAGTTGCCCTCTGTGTGTGGGGCGACTGGTGAGGCAGGAGCCCTCGCCTGGCACCACCTGAATCCCCCGCCACCCACCCCTGGTTCCTTGTTTGCCATCAGGCAATCGGAGCCTGCCAGCCAGGGAAAGGGACCAAGAGGTGGTCAGTGCACCTCATAGTGACTGGTCGAGTGGTCATTCTGCCATTAGGGTCCATTTGCATATTACCCTTTTATTATATAGGATGCCTTCCTTATATGAAATTACATAAAATAAAAATGAAAAGTAAAGTAAAGAGAAACATCATTATTAAATCACTATTAGCCCAAATTTAGACATTTTTTGTACTAACCCCCTCCACATTTCCCTGTCATCTATAATAAATTACCAAAAGGTCCACTATTGATGATTCTTGATTACTTACAGATCTAATCCTATTTTTTAAAAATTGCTCTTTCCTGCCCAGCTGGTTGTTATAGCTTAGTGGTTGAGCCTCAACCCATGAACTAAGAGGTTGTTGACTTGATTCCTGGTCAGGGCACATGCCCCAATTGTGAGCTTGATCCCCAGTAGGGGTTGGGCAGGAGGCAGCCGATCGATCATCAATGTTTCTATCTCCCTCTCCCTTCCTCTTTCTCTAAAACAAAAAAATTAAAAAACATTAAGAAATTGCTCTTTCCTCACATTAAAGATTACATAAATATTTCAATTATATTTTACCTCACAGTTAATATATGGTTATTCTATTTCTGCAGAATAAATGTAGTCAGTAATTGTTTCTACCTTTTTACAAGATTATAAAGTATGCTAAGGAAAACTTTCTGGAAAAAAAATGAATACTTTTTCTAAAGTGAAATTCTACACAGTGGTTAAAATTACTATTTTATCATGGTTTTTTTGTGTATTTAAGTAAAATATATACCATATTAAACTTCATTTTAAGTCATTAGGCCACATAAGAAGTCTTTATAATATAAATAGAGCATTTGGTAGATATATGCAAGACAATCTACATTGCAGCTTAAAATAGCATTTGCTGTCTATATAATCAAGCCAAAAAAGAAATGCAGCAGGAACACTAATCCAGTAAATTTAAGAAATGTTGGTATTTTCCCACTGGAATTTTACTTACAATTTTAATACTGAATTTATCCAGTGCTATTAAAGTAAGTTATTTCATAGTTTAGACTGCTTACTGCTTAAAGAAGTTTGCATAAGTTGTTCATCTGAGTGCACACAACAACTGGTAAAAAGCTACCACTCAGACATATGTGAAATGAAGAAGGAAGACAAAACATCTAGTACACAACCTTGAAGAAATAGTCCAATATTTCAAACCTACATGAAAATAACTACTACTACTTATATTCTAAAATAGGTTTCCAAAGTGAATTCATATTACATAACATATTCTTTTCTTTAAGATTTATAATGAACAGCAGCATATTAGGTGCTATGAGAAGTACTGCAGGAAATAAACTGCCTAGGGTTTTGTTAACAAAACTCAACTGACCATAGATTTCCTTTATTCACCTATCACATACTAGCATTGTTGAGGAATTGATTATAGAAAATGATATTCTAAAAAAAGACAGTAAAATTTTTCTTCTTAAGGGTTACATGAAAGTAAAGAGCAACTAACCATTAAAAACAAAAATATTAAGCTTACATAATGTTAAAATTAAGAACATAAAATTAATTTTAAAATTAATATTGGTAAATACATACCAATTCAGAATTAAAGTGAGGAGGATTGTTGATATATAAAGGAAAGCATGAAGGAATAACAATGAAAAGGGGTATGGGAAGAAAGAGGAACACACAAGGAAAACAGAAACGAAAGATGCAATGCAATCAATGAAAAGTAAGTATCAGACTCAACAAGAGGTGGTCAGTAGTTGTCCTTCATATTTGCTGTAAGAAAAGGTTAGTCATAACTTTAGAAGAATCACTTAGGGCTTTCAAGTTACTATTTACTTATCCCAAACAAAACAAAATATGAAGTAGGTTATACAAAATGCTTAAGAGGAACAAAGTAAAAAATATTTCCGTGCTAGATTCAAACACATGTGCTAATAATGAGAATTAAAAAGGGCAAAAAGAACCTGATTCTTTCATGACATACAGTTGTTCATTCAACAAATATTTACCAAGCATTTACTTCATTACCAGTTATTGTTCTGAGGACTCAGAATGTATCACTGAACAAAAGAAAACAAGATCAACTTCCCTAGTGGAGGTTATATTTTAATAATATAGACAATTAACTGTCTAAGTTTTGTAAATTATGTGTATGTGACAAGGTAGTAAATGCCACGGAAAGAAGGAAGGACAGAAAGTAGAACAAATGAGATCAAGTGTGTAAGGTTTTGTTGGTGGTGATTTAAAAAAGGTCTGAATGAAGCCCAATGATCAGAACACGTTTTACTGACAGGTGATATTTGAATTTAAAAGAGGTAAGGGAATTAACCATGCAGACACCTGAGAACAAAAGCTTTCTAAGCAGTGGGAGTAGCCCATGAAAAAACCTTAAGGTAGAAAACTTCGATCTTTGAAGGGCAGCAAAAAGATTAATGTGGCCTAGAGAGAGTGATCAAGGAGGATGGGAAATGGAATAGGTAACAGTGACCAGTGCACACATCATGTAAGGTTTTGTGGGCCATTATAAAGACTGGCTTTTATTGAATGAAATGGGGAGGAGGTATTGATATGATCTGATTCATGGTTTAAAAGTATGACTCTGGCTGCTATATTGAAAAAGAGTAGAGTACACCTGAAATTAATATAATATTATATGCCAACTGTAATTTAAAAAGAAACAATTATTTAAAAGAAAAAAAAAGGAGTAGAGGTGCAAGGATGGAAACCGGAAGAATTAGGAGCCGACAGCAGTTATTTCGGGGCATTTGGACTAGAAGAGGACTGGTGAGAAATGGTTATAGTCCAGGTACTAGAAGGAAGCAATAGGATTTCCTGATGAATTAGACAATCCTAAATATCTGCCTACACTCCAAACTTTTGATGCGAAATAGTGGAT